CCCCCCCCCCCACCCTGCGGGATCCCGCCCGCCAGTGGCCCTCTCGGGGCGGCTCCATCATTCGCTTTTCCTTCTGTCCACGCCGCAGAGGCCACAAATGTGAATTACAGAGTCGGGGAGGTACTTATCGCATTGCTTTGCTTTTCTTCTCACATCGTTAAAAGCAAGATTTTTCAAGCGGGCTCTCAACTAATGATGCTTAAAACTTTGCTGGAACAAATTCAAAAAGAGGCCATTTTACTTGTTTCCATTATTTGAATAGGAGTTTTACAAACACTCAGATTACTAGGTTAAGGGATTTCCCCTTTTTTGATTATAATAAAAAAAATAGGTTCTTAACTTTGCACCCAAAAATGTTTTACGTATTCTCTAATGGGACGGGTTTCAAGGTGGGCCAATTTGTTTTTTAAAATACGAAAAAAAAAATTATTCCCCCGTTCAATTTTAAATTTAATCTTTCCTCCCCTTTTTTCCGGGAGGAGGGCGTCCTTGCGCTGCTAACGGCGACGCCGTCGCGCGTCCCGCTTCCATTTAAAAAAATATTTACTAATTTTTTTGCGAACAGACGTTTGACAAAATTGCATAAAGTAGTGCTCATTAGTAAAGAAGAGGAGTAGAGTCCTTTGACTGTACTCCACTAATTTTACTACATTAATAGTAGTTCACGATAAATATATACAATAATAAAAACATAGACGAATCAATTTACAGTCGATATGTAATGTCTAAAGTATAATGTCGTTTAAGTGGTCTGGTAGTGTCACTATTATCTAGTAAGTTGATGGCTAGAATATTGGGATTGTTATGTTGTCATAGGTGTTTTGCACTGGTCCTGTTTCCAATAACGCTATACGATTGTATCCTTGAATTAGCATTGGAGTCTGTTCTCTGTTCTGGCCGGTGCGGCTCTGTAACATCCGACAGACTCTTAATCTGATGGGGCTGATACATGCCAGAAATGGCGCATCCCGACCATGCAGGGTGTGTAGGTTTAAAACGATAAAAAGAAACACAAATATTATTTGAAAATATCCGCCTGTATTCTAGCACTGCTCAAGTACACAACATAAGAGCAAGACGCAAGGCACAGAATGATAACGGCTCGCTTTGCTCTGGTGCTCGCCAATGAGGTTGAAAATAAAGGTGAACAACGAGATGACCAGCCGCCTCAACACTGCTGCTCCGCTTATCAAGATGACGTAACAACTTCACCACAACCCCTTAATGAAGGCGGCCAGCCATTCGCTGCCACACCCCTTCGCCGCACACCGCACTGACGTCACCGAACATGATTAGTCGGAATTTATTGTAATAAAGAGCGCAATAGCAATATATGTATATATGTATATATGTATGTATGTATGTATGTATGTATGTATGTGTGTATATATATATATACAGACATTAAAAATTCGTAAGAAAATATACAAAATATATAAATTAAAAATTAATTTTAGAGTTGAAATTTGCTCAACTCAAGTATTTTCCCAGATCAGAAAGTCATTGTTCAGATCACATCAGGGATTCGGAACGACTGAAAATAATTTTTATCACTACCGTAAAAGTACACGAGTTTTATTCGAAATATGATACTATGAAACATTGGCAAGTACATGATTGAAGTTACTTCTTCTTTGTAAACATCCGCTCATCCTTGTTTCCGAAAACGGTGGGAACCACGGAGGCTGGCAAGTTTGACAATTCATGGCGAAGATCCGGTGGCCATACAAGCGTGACCGTATTGCTTCGTAAGAAAGATTATTCCAATAACATTACATTAGCAAACTCGCATCTGAAACGTTATGTTATAAAGTATAAGTATATTGAAATGTAACGAAACTTGTAGTTTGAGGTAAAATCCTTTAACGTATTTTTCATTTGCTTGATTTTTACGATCTGAAAAGTATCTTTAATTTTTCCATTTTCTTCAGATTTTTTTATAAACAATTAATTATAAACAATACAATAAATCTTTTGCCAGTGAAGTGCTTTGCAGTCGATTCGTCACATTGAATGCAGAAGAACAGTTTTATAAAATAGTTGAACAATATTATTTTATTGTTTACAATCTTACCCTAAAGAAACGCACTTTCTTTTCATCAGAGTCATAACGAACTTTTATCCTGTAGTCATAATCCATCACAATCAATTCTGCGATCTCTAGCTTGCAAATTTTCAAATACATCATAAATTTCGTGAAATGCTATTTCGGTTGTAAGTTTCAGTTTCAGCTCTGTATTTCTGATGATTATTTAAAACCGGGTCTACATTACGAAAAACATGTTTGTATTTGATGGATCAGCGGACTAGTTGGAACGAATCGCTTCAGTAGACACCAATCTAAGTGAAACATCGAATATTTAATTGTGTTAACATTGGCGAAATAAATGGCTTGTTTCTGAAACGTATCGGCAACATGAAGAACCTGATCAGTGAAGCCGCCTCGGCAGCCGACGCATGCAAATGCGAGCGAGGGAGACGTGCAGAGGAGCAGAGGAGGCGGATGAAAGGCGGAGCGACGGGCAGATTAGCTCCCAGCCTCTCCCCCTCCCCTCTCCCCTCTACCGAACCCTGTTCGCCCACCGGCGCGCCGCGCTTTCAGCACTACCACGCCTTCTACTCCGTTTTCCTCTTGGTTTTATTGGCATTTCTTCGTATAGTCTGTGAAGATGTAATCAATTAAGATCTATTATAATGTAGTATGATCGGGAATAATTTCAAGTACTTAAATTGAATACTTTTGGTGTGAAGTTCAAATTACATAAATACTGTTTCATTCTATTTTTTCAGCTTCTCGCTATACGAGATATTTCTTTTTTTGGACTCTCTTCAAAGAACTTCACGGCGGATAACTATTCTATTTGGATTTACTCGGGTATCGTTCGCAAATAGACAGTAATTATTCAGAACAAGCACGTAACTCAGTAGTGTTGTGTTTCTTCTTTATTTCTTTGTAAAAGATTGTGGTAAATGCTACGTCATCTTTTAAAGCGCTCTGCTGTTTGACTGTGATTTTAATTGCCAATATTTGCTACACAAAAGTCACTGCTGGAAAAGAGATGGTATTTTGATGTACCTTGATGGTTAGCAAGACTTTTCGTTGAAAGGCCGACTTTATAACAAGCCGTTACGCATTTCAAATTTAACCGATATATATCTAAGTACAAAGAAAGACTTTAGGAACGTTTGTAAATATACGTTTGAAAAAAATTGTGGCTCCTAAAATTAATTGTCACATTTTTATTTCACACAACTTACAAACTACGGAGTCAAACTTTCATATTTTGCAAACCACATTGTCATAGTTTGTTTCCATTAACTGTGAAATTACTTGAACAATTGAAGTATGTAAATATGACTTGAACTTATTAGAATACAACGTGAACCGAAATACAATCTGAACCGTAATTTTTGCTCAATCGTCTTTCGGCATTTAAATCCTCGCCCGACTTTTCATTTTCTCCGCATGTCGCTTCTCCTGGACGTCTTGTGTGTTGAGCAAGCTGCTCGTCCCACTGGCAGGAGTTGCACGACTGTACCGCCGCCGCCGCTGTTGTAGATCGCCGCAGGAGATGCCGCGCGTGACGTTTTCGCGAAGGAAACGTGTAAATCCGAGCCTCGCGATCGCATCTGGAAGCAAGACATCACCGCAAGGACGCCATCGGTCCTTTTCGCCGGCTCGCGACAGCGCCGATCAGTTTAACGGGGCCAGGTGGCGGCGGCGGCGGCGGCGGCGGTCGCGCATTGTGGGCCCACCCTCCGCGGCGCGGGGCGGGGCGGGTGCCCGCTCCCTCCAGCCTCTCGCGCGTCTCCCCGGGGCCCTCGCGTGCGCCCGCAGTCGCGCCCCGACACGACGCCGCGGGGGCCACGAGTCTTTGAGCGCTGCGCCGGCAGCACCCCGAGGGACCGTCGCGCCGCCGCCCCGCGCCGCGTTTTCTCACGGGAAGGAAGGGGTTCAATTAAAGGACGCCGCCCCGTAGGTTCGAGGACCGGTCCGAGGGCGAGGGCGAGTGGGGTTCGTCGCCGATCCGCGCGCGGGGGTCTCCGTGCCCCGTGGGAGCGTCGGGGCCGCGAGGGGAGTGAGCTACGTACTCCACACGCGCGCGTGCACACGCATTAATGGCGAAAGGAATTGTTCGCCGCCAGAAATGTTGCAACAGGACACGCCAGCAGACGACTCAAATGACTGTAGTAAGTACTAATAACATTGTGATTGGATGTAGTAGTGTGTAGGAAGCTGACGCGTATTCGAGAAAAAAAAAACGTTGCAAATTTGTTGAAATTGTTGTGTGTGATTGGGTTTCGATTTGGCTCAAGAAATATTGACTGTTGGTTTAGTGTGCGTGTGAACATCAATATACAAATTGTGTCTCTGAGTGTTCATACTATGTGAAAGTGATTTCGATATATTTTAATCTTGGAATGGCCGTATTAGGTAAGTCTTTAAAAATACGTATAAATAAATATTTTTCTGTGCAAGGTATATTTTTCGAAATGAAGAAACAGTATGAAGAAAATTCAATGATTTGTCCAATACAAAAAACGGGCTGTATTGTGGATTTTCTAGAAGTCTTTCCATTCGTAGGTAATGAGAAAATCTTGGAAACGTTTTCCTCCGTCGCGTTCGTCGTCTAAGGATTTCCTCATGTACGCCGCTAGCGCGTGGTTAGGGGCGAGCTCGCCCAGACACAGAGCGCCGGCGCGGCGGGCGGCTGCGGGGGCAGAGGATGTCGGCGCGACCGCGAGCGGCGCCACCGTCGCGCCTCCGTGTTAACGAGGAGACGGAAGCGCGGCGCCGGGCCGGGCCGGCGCACTTGGGCCGCCTCATTAAGCTTTCGGGCGCCCGCTGCCCGTTGGCGTCTCTTCCTGGAGCTCTCTTCGATCGCTCGCCGCTCCGTCGGCCCCTGTCCGCCCGCCGAGCATTTCTCGCTCGTTACGGACAGGAAGCCAATTAAATTTCTGATTCTAGTTCCCTCACCCCCCCCCCCGTTCGATCACTTCATTTGAGAGGCTCTGCATAGCGGTTCGCGTACGGGAGGGCACGTTTCGCGCATTCTTATCGCATAGCGCCGCCGATGAAGACGGCGGGTGGACGTTTCTTATCCTGCGCGCGGGAATTCTTAAGCTTTTGTACGGCATAACTGAAAGCGTCTATTCGCGCAAGAACGAAAAGTCGGCGAAGCTTGTAATGAACGACATGAAGAATGCTGGTCGCAGGACCAGAAATACTCGCTCACGTGACTCATTGGCGCGCTCGTGTGTCCGCCCGATGGGCGACAAGAAACGAGGAGAGAAGTTGCTCCGAGTGAGCGGCGGCGACGCAGCGATCGTTACGAGGCCGAAGCGCGCATGCTGCAAATGCCAGCTGCAGCGCCAACAACGGCGAACTACGGTGTACGTCCACAGCTCTGATGATAATGTCTCATGGCACAGCTCAGCTTTTGTTCGTCCGCACAGTATACACGTGTGTACACACATTTTAGATTTCACATTCATTGCATTACTTTTTGAAATGTCACCTTTTTCCAAGTCGCTGACTGTCAAATATTCGAAGGCGATATGTAAACAAATAGCACAGCCACCATCAACGGGCCTCTGCTTGGTTCGGACAGGCAGCGGCTCTGGGGCGGACGGGCAGCAAGGAATACTCTTAATGGCATTGGGATGGATTTTGTGAACTATTTTTATATTAATTGACCTGATCAATGTTCTCAAATAGAAATTATTGCTATTACACATATAGTAGCTTTTCAGAATTAACATCTAGCTTCATGTCATTCACAACCACTTATATTCAAATACGTAAAAAGTGCAATAGACGACGTTTGTATATATCTAATGAAACTCCCATGTCCATTGTTTTCATGTTTATTTATCGAGGTAACAATAATCTTAGCTCTTCCGACTTGAATTTAAAATAACAATTCTCAACTCTAAGGTAAGAGGGCTCCTTTAGCACAACCAAAGAACTCGAATTATGCGCGTTGGGATTATAAATTAAAATGTATGATGGATACAGAGGGTGGCACGGGGGCCATATCCTCCTCCAATACCAACTTTTTTGGTAATTTTACTATATTCAAAATAATTACAATATATAGATTTAATTACATTCAATACAGTATTCACATTAGAAATACAGCCCATTTTTTTTTATTTCTAGCTAAATATTTGAAATGTTTTTTAAAAACACTTATGGTGGTGTTATGAGAGGTTAAATTGTCCCACCATAAATAATTTTTGAAACTGCCCCTGTTATTAATCTATGTTGATGCATTTCTAAAGAATTCCTGAATAAAATCAAATATATTTTGAGAATAGTCTTCAAGCGTGACGTTTTACCAAAAAAGTGGCCCTTATTAAGGGACGTGAATAAACTAACAAGTGCAAACTACTTAGTGTAATGAAATATGAAAACTTGACTTCAAACCGTTATGGGCAACATTTTGTCTTCAGGATGATTGTAGAATAAACGGGAAGCAAACGGAATTGGAAAAATAGTTCCTCTTAAAGGAGTAGTTAGGCGCAACAGATCGAAATCCCGGATGCCCATTACTCTCTGGTAGCGCTTCTAAAAGTGGACATATAAACGAGTTAATTTGAAGAAAGTGAAGCTTTCAATTTTGTTTAAATATGTGGTCAGACTGGAATTTCATTAAAATTCTTCAAGTTTTGCAACTTCTTAAAAGGACTATTTTGCGGTTTCTCAAACCTATCCACGTTCGTGGCCACACTCCACTACAATTCGTTCGACTCTTTCAACTTCTCGGTTTTTACTTTCTTGTTTATGAATGTATGTACGGAGTAATGTATGTTGAATAGCAATGCAGTCGAAAATCAGTTTCCAGATCTCGACGGTAATACACGTTACTCACTCTGATACCAGAGAAGTGTTTTTCTTACTTTCTCGTGTACGTACGTATAGATGATACACGTATTATAGAGAAAGTAATGCCGCGATCATAGTGCCGCTTTTTCGACGGAAGAACTCGTTTTGTAATTACCTGACGTAAAAGAGGATTTTTCTTGCTTTTATTGGTTGTAAATTACTCAGCGTAGCTAAAAAAATTCAAAATTACGTGTGTTTTTTTAAGTACTCTCACGTTAAGATTTACATTACAGAAGTATTTCATTGTTTACAACGTTTGTTAACATATAAGCTTCAAACTATATCTAAGGATGTTTTTTACAAAATTTCATAATTTATTGGAAAGGACTCGAAAACCTCCCAAAATACTTTGTAGAGAACATGCTGGACAAAACAGAGAAGATATCAGAAGATTAAAACGACACCACCCCTAGATCTGTCATAAAGCATAATCATGTAATCACTAGATTAAATGAAATAATTTAATTTGTATCTGAGAAGTGCTGTCATATGACAATTCTTCACTCAAGTGAACTTTATTTATAAATACTTCACCGAATGTTCACGTGAAGAACAAATTGTGAATAAACAGTTGATTAAAATAAATTGCGAACGTCTTTGTAAATGGTTCGTAATTGAAAGTGTGTGGTGAGCGAAGGCATTTCCCCTGTGTTAAGTGCATGCGTGTGCGTGTGTGTGTGGTGAGCGAAGGCATTTCCCCTGTGTGAAGTGCGTGTGCGTGTGCGTGTGTGTATGGTGAGCGAAGGCATTTCCCCCGAGTTAAGTGCATGCGTGTGTGTGTGTGTGTGGTGAGCGAAGGCATTTCCCCTGTGCTAAGTGCGCGCGTGTGCGTGCGTGTGCGTGTGGTGAGCGAAGGCATTTCCCCCGTGTCAAGTGCATGCGTGTGCGTGTGCGTGTGGTGTTGCAGGCGGCGCGGCGCGGGTGATGGGCGAGGAGGCGTTCCGGCGCGTGGGCAGCCGCGTGTGGTGGGGCGACGAGGCGGGCGAGGAGCGCTGCAGCCCGGCCAGCAGCCAGCGCAGCGGCGACAGCGGCTTCTCCGACCGCTCCGCCTCCCCCTCCGCCAACCCCTTCATAGGTGAGCCCTGGTCAACGAACTAGAGACATTTGTGTTTTACTCCCAGGCAAGGGGTCGTCCATAAATTACGTAATGTTAAAAAGGTCAAGAGGGGGTTTGAGGCAGCGTTACATAGGGGTAGTGGTTGTTAGTTTCGGGTTACGTAACATTGATATTTTTTTTACGTTTTTCAAAATTTTCTGGAATAATTCCTTTTTTTTTAGTCTCGTACTAAAACAATAAAATATTAAATCATTAATTGGTTTTAAAAACATAAATAAATTAAAGTTATTAGTTATAAATTGTTACAGTAAATGGAAATATTTTTTCATGCATTTTTATTGAATATTTTAGATTACGAAGAAAATATTCAAAACTGATTTGTATCCATTTAAGTTGTCGCAGTAAACTCACCCAGGCGTCATTCACGACGGGGTATGCACTGCTTTTGATCTAAAATGTTCTCGCCTATGCGTCCTCCTTTCACTCATGCAGTCAGTAACGCAAACTAATTTCCACTTTGATTATCATTAATTTTAAGATACATCTTAAACTAATTACAAATTTTTGTTACTGTGCTATAATTTATTTTAACTTCTTACATTTACAAGGAAGACGTTGTTGCAAGCGTTACGTAATTATTTAGGGGGGTGTTCAATCGCGCGTTATGGGTGCGTTACGGAGGGGAAAGGTAGTATTCAAAATACTCCGAATTTTCGCTACGTAATTTATGTACGGCTCCTAAAGAAAATGGGATTGAATTCTTGTGAGAATGAAGTGGATATGGCTTAGCGCTAAGCCCTTGGCAGCTTGAATGGTGAAAGACAATGGATAAGTTTTGCTTCGTCCGCTGGCATTGTGTTCACTGTGTGTGTGTGTCGCAGGTCGCCTGGAGCTGTCGTGCTTCGAGGGCTGTGCGTCGGACGCCGAGGCAGAGCGCGAGGAGCCGCAGACGCAGCAGCGGGGGGCGGAGGCGGAGGCGGAGAGGACAGGGCAGGAGGCGGAAGGAGGAGAGGGTGAAGGAGAGGGGGCAAGGAAGGAGGCGGAGGCGGAGGAGGAGGACGCTGCAGGGTCCCCGCCCCCGGCGTCGCCTGACTGCATCTGCGACGCGCTCGACTTGACGGGGCTCGAGGGCGCCCCCGCGCACACCTCCACCCCCAAGGCGCCCCCCGCGCCCCGACGCCGCCCCGGCGCCACCCACAGGTGAGCGCACCACCCACCGCCGCTTTCGTATAGGGAAATTACAATGAGAAGGAACCGCTTTGACACCGCCTTAACCAATGCACTCAGTTTGCCAGTGCGTTCGTTTACGTTTATCTGGTGTGTAAATGACATCATCACTACCTCTTGCAGTGTCATGGCCTTGTATGACGTTCATTTGTTCCCGACCTGTCAAAGCGGTCCCTTCTTATTGTAACTCTTCTATAGGTTCTAGAAAAGACAAATCTCTGAATTCAATATAGCGAGTGAAGGAAGGTGCCGTAAAAATCTTAACTTTTGCAATTTTGCAAATTTCAGACTGTTCAGAGGTTTAATGTAAAGTGCCTCCAAAATTGAAAATATCAGTTTCAAATTCAATGGGCTGAGACATCAGGCGGTTCAGTCGGAGAATACCAATTTTGGTGAAAATCTGCGTACGGTTTAGCTGCTAGTGATGTTTACGGATGGACAGACCTTTTTTTTATCTTGTCATCTCACTACGGTAAAACTGCAATATGATTTTAAGAATATCACAGAAGAGTAAATATTGTTCAAGTGCATAGTAAATTACTTCCTCCAACATGTTGTGTAGCCAGAATCCAAGATTTGTGAACCTTTGATATCAAAAAATTGGTTGACTAAACCGCTGTTCATCCGTCCATTTGTCTGTGGACAACGTAGCACCTAAACCATTCTGCAAAATTAATGTTCCTAGATCGATCTTGCGGAACTTCAGACTCTGCAAAATGGAAAGAAATATTTTGATGTTGGGGGTACTTTACACGAAACCTTACCATATTCAGAGCAAAGACCGTTTAAAAATTGGTGCATATCTCATTTTTATCGATCTCTCTAAATTTCCGAAAATTGCAAAAGTTTGAAATGATGCGAGAAAGTATGCGCAGTTGAAGCACCAATAGTTTATGTTTACATACGTTTTATGTGTAGAAGTGTTTTCTACGTTACTAGGGTAGTTGATATATATTTTCTTTTTCATTCCGCTCTTTAATTTATAAAACTGTTATTACAATGCCTTTCCTTTAACATTATTTTCCACGTTTTCCAAGTTGTTGTAAAACCACTGAAGATGGAGAGAATATCTCGAAAACTATTTCTGGTTCTTGTTTGTTTTTAATATATTATCAATTTTTTCGTGGTTATTGTATTTTTCTGATTTCTCATTGTGATTATCATTAAGATTATCGACACGAGAGTAATTGCTAATTTTTGCCGGTATGGGCTTACATGTCTCGACAGTTTCGATTTATAAAGAGAACGTGATTTAAAATTGGAACAATAGCGACATTTAATTGCAATTCTCGACAAAATCAAACACGCAATAAAAACCCATGTATCAGCCATAAACATTTGTTTTCAGCCTTCGCGATTAACATGTCACATTAATCAACCTCCGGGATAGAGATTTCCGGTTTGCTTCAAACCTACGACTCTTCTCTTTTGGAAGCGATTTCACATTTTCTCTTCAAATGCAAAAGTGATTTTCTCTGTATTCTACGACTCACCAAAGGTCGGAGGGAGCGCATAGGCAGATGGAGCAGCGAGGTCCCTCGACGCTTCCCTCAGGCAGCGGACGATTACTTCGGCAGGGTCTAACCAAGAGCGCCAGCCCTCTTGGGTCTAACGCACTTGAGCATCGCGCAGCGAAATGTGCTCTTCCGCGTGTCGGATATGCCGGAGCGCCAGCTGACAATGCCCTGGAAGTGTCGAATGAAGTGCAGTTGGATATTAAGGATAGTTTCCATGCGTGATTTAAATTGTTTCGACATCGTCAAACACAATATTGTAAGAATTGATACAAGTCACGGCAAAAGCGTGTGAGAATATAAAAATAATAATATGGATTCGTCGAATTCGACGAAAAGCTTACAATAGCAAAGTAAACTCGCTCAGAATATAAAAAACTCGTGTTTCAACTAAATTCGCAATGAACGAACACTTCATGAAATAGTTATCCATATAGTACGTAATATGTCTTGAAGTAGAATATTTGAAGTCACTGTTTTTGGATTCGAGCACTCGCAACATTACTTATTGCGGGTGTTCTTCGGATGTCAGAATTAGAAGAAAATACGAGAGTACCACAGGTTCTGCATATGCAAGCCCAAAATTTGTGAAATGAATGTCAAACATTTCTTCCTGTTACTAACCAGCATGTAACCTCGATAAGATTGGGTGGAAACTAATGTAAAAATGATCGCTCACTTGACTGGTCAGAGTGTTCAACCTGCAGCCATGACCGTCTCCATCCCTGCTCCCATCCAAACGCCTTGCCCGCGCCCGCCCCGAATCCTGCCCCCCGCCCCCATCCCCCGCCCCGCCTCGGCCCCGCCTCGGCCCCTCCCCGCTCGCCCTGCGCCGCCCTCGCCCCGCTCTCGGCCCCTCCCGGGCACCCGCCCCGATCCGCCCAGCAGGCTCCCCTCTCCCTGCCCCGCCCATCCGCGCCGCCCGCCCGCCCCTCCTCCTCACCTGTCCCGCCCTTCGGTTCATCCGCCTAGTGCCGCGCCCGAGCACGTTCCGCTGATCAGCCTTCCCTCCCCCCCCACGTATACACGCAAGCGCTCTGCACATATTCGCACGCACTCGGCGACAAGCCGCCTTCGGCACGGTTACACCAACAAACAGTAAGAGATCACTCCCGAGTATGTCATTTTTACACAGCAGTAACACCTTGGACCATTTCACCAACACTTTACTCGAGAGTAAACCACTTTACTCGTCGAAAATATTTTTTCGACGTTTTGAATGGAACTTATAAAATTTGTCAAGGTAAAAAGTACCTGTGACGGTTTAATTTTTAAAAGTACCGTCTTGAATCTCCTTGAGCAATGTAAGAAAATAGTCTTGTTCTTCAGATTCGTGGAGTAAATCGGGCAGTGGGTTTCAAGCGAAAGAGAAGCGTGTAGAAGCGCGGTGAAACGCCTACGTTGCACTCGAGAGTAAAGCTTACACTCGAGTTATCACTCTGGACTTCACTCTCTGTTGGTGAAGCCGGCTTTTAATGGTGCTAGCTTTAAGGGTTGTAGCAATCGATTTTTCATCATTTCGATTATGCAGTGTGTTGCACAGCTGATGGTTTGGGGAAGAAGAAATCGTTTTCTTAAAAAATTATGCGTATTAAAAAACAGCTTCTAATAATAGATAACTCTAAAAATAAAGATAGAGAACGTAAATAAAATAAAATTACATCCGTTTGGCACAATTGATAGAATTAACGTTCCTATATCTAACATATGATTATAGTGCACAGGCCAGGTACTTTTAGTTCATTACTAACGGATAATAAAGAGTAATAGGCAATTGTAGGTGTAAAAATGTAGTCGAAAACAAAGTGTCCATTCCCGTGCAACGAGCACGTGCTCCCGACGCTGCAACCAAGTCGACGCGTACAAACGCGCACGTACGCCCCACCATGCCCCACGCCGCCCCGCCTCTCCCTGCATCGCATATGCTCCTTCCCTCCTCCATCCCGCCTCTCCCCATGCACGCCCCGCACCACCCCGCCTCGCCCCGATTTTCGAAGATATATAGTTCCCGGAAAATGGGTCAAATAAGTCTTTCGAACTGCTACCAATTTGCTTTGCTTCGTATCGTTTTTTCCGAACACTTTTTTTTTTAAAAAAAATCATCTTTAAAAGTACTTTTGAAATTCTTGACGAGAAATATCATGGAAATTGTCTTCATTGAATGTTAATTGTGACTTTTTAAAATTATTGGTCCAAGAGATGAAAAGTAGAAAGAAAGGGATGGAATTTCATTCCAAAATTCCAACGGTATAAGTTGTCAAAAATTAATTTATCATGTTGAATAACTTAATTCTGAAACATTTATTATTGGCAAAGTTGCAAGTGTTTTCTATCTGATTATCCGAAATTGAGTAACTATGAGAAAGGTTCTGTATAATTGAAATACGAATTCATAAAGAATATAAACCTCTTTATAACGAAGGGTGATTGACAAAATTCTGGCCTTACGTGGACCTATTCAATTGGATAAGAATCATGCACATGTTAATTACCTTTTTTTACGATTATGAATTTATAATTATTCTTCTATCGTTAGTTGTTCGTACACACAATACCATTCCCCCTCTGAAGGGATAACTAGTACAAAACTAAAGAAATAAAAACTTTTGGCTAAAAGAACATACCATACCTTGTTTCAAATCGAATCAACCGGCAAAGGTGGCTCAGAGCATTCAACCGAAGTCACTGAAGCGCTTCTGACCGGTGCTAGGGTTCGAGTGTCGACAGTGGCAGGATTTTCGGCACTAGCTACTTTGGAGAATTCTATCGGCCAGCTGCTCTGATTAGTAGTTGTATGTGGTGTCTCCCATCAACGCCAAGCGTACGCCGGAGCAGTACCAAAAGAAACGGGTCACGAATCGCGCACTACATTTTCTTCTTCCTTATCAATCTTCACCTCCTTACCTACACACACTTACACTATACTACCGCATTAGTCGAGAGATCAGTCTCAAGTTTAGAGCATGTCCCGGTTGGAACGATACCTGGCTAGTGGGGGATATCTGGTTGGGGAAACCCTCGCTAGCGGATGGGAGGTCGGCGCCGGATCTCTCCATCCAGCGGGAGAAGATCATCGCGATAAAACGCGGAGAGTAATGACCTTAGCATTGACGCGCCGGAATCACCAATCAATCAATCAATCATTGTTCCAACCTGGGAGCCCGTTGCGAGACCCCTGCTCGGGCGCAGAGGCTCTCCAGGGCCACGCCGAATTCCGTTATTGCCGAGCGCAGCGCGCGCGGGTTCACGCGGGGTCGGCGCCCGACGCTGCGGCACTCGGGGCGCCCGCGCCAGCGCTCAGCGCTTCCGCGTCCAATAGGGCCGAGGAGGGAGGGGGGCGGGTCGCTCCGCGATGCGCGCTGCCCAAATCGCGCCCGCCTCCGCCGAGTGCGCCTTGCCTTCCCTCTCGGCGAATGGCGCTCCGCCGCGCCAGCGCGCCCGCCGTCACCGAGCGAAGAGTTCGCCGGCGAGCGAGCGTGTGGAGCAACTGACCATGTCGCTGTTCAGCGGTTCGCGCGCGCCCTCAGAGTGGTGGCGCAGAAGCGGAGCGCAAACCAGAAGACGCACAAAGCGTCGGCGAGGAGTGCGCCCGCCAGCGTCGCTGCCAGCAGCAGAGAACGCAGCCCCGACCGAAGTTGGCTCCGGTAAGTGCGAATCGAGCAAACGTGGAGTGGAAAGTGAGGTGACGGGAGGGGGAGACATGTGCGCAGTAGACTTTCGCAAATGTTCATACGTCTGTACGACTCGGAAATGAAATATGTGTCAATTAAAAAATATATTTACAATGGTTTTGAGACTTTCAGAATGACGTCTTTGACAATATTATTAACCCTTTTCCGTTTTTGTGCCGAAAATATTTGATAAAAATTATAAGAGAATATTTGGTCCTCGCAGTCTTCACATAGAGACGAGTAGGAACTGTAATTGGCTGAGTACCAGATTGGCATATGTTCAGAAATTTAATGAATTTTCAGAAAGCTTCATGTGAATAAATTAAGTGGGAGTGAAGACTTTTCTAAGAGTACATTCATATGACAATTCCCTTAGCTTCATCATTACATAACACGTGTGCAAATGAAAATAATTCACAAGTAATAAGCTGTTATTAGCCGATTCTGTACAAGTATCTCTCGTTTTACGTCAGACGAAAGCAATAATATACACTGAAGCAATCAACAGACATTTTACGAGCATAGATGACTTAGAGTAAGCACATTGTGTTACTTCAGTTGTCGGCGACGGCGATACTCTGTCACGTAACAGCGAAATACGGCTTGATGAGTATATGAAGACAAAGGGCTTGGTTGGTTGATCAGGATTTCCGAGAGCATCAACTGCTATTTGTTCCGTAAGTGTGATGCATGTTATCACCGCGGGAGGGGGCGATGATATCCACTGCTGGCTTGCGAGATCCGCCGACGTACGTCAGCTTCAGGATTTTCCCCCAACCTCAAAGTAATTAAATGTGTGCTCAGCCAAATAAATCAGTGTCCCTGTTCAAGTGAATATAAAACCGACAACAATCTCAGTGCTGTGTCACTGCTACTGAAAGCTGTGCCGCCTCTTGAATACAATCCGCCACATTATCAAGGTTACCATTTAAAACTCGTAAATGAATGGGTTGTCTGCGAGCAGGGACGAGAGAATTGGTGTAAATCGCGCCGCCGGCTTGTTCCTTTACCTGCGCTACCCTTAGGCCAAACGGAGGCCCTTCCTAGGGGGACTAAACTGTTATGAAAGCGATATCATTGTTTCCATTTCCGTGAAGCTTGTATTCCGATGTCAAAAGTTGATTTGTATTAGCTGTTATTTTTTTTCTGAACCATAGAAAGATAATGAACGCGAGTGCTCTATTTCGTAAAATACGTTTTAGGATTCTGTAAGCTTTTTTTTTCTTGCAAAAGGGTTTAAGAACGCAAGTGCTTGTTCTCACCGTTCTCCTCCACCCTGACGAACAATTGCCTCCCGCACGTTCGACGTAGGCCGTAAATTCGAGTTCTGTTCCCCTGTCGCCGCCGCTGCCGTACACCCTCCGCGGCGACTGATTTTATCGCGCGCGCGCGCGCCGCGGGCGGAGCGTCAGATAAATGGCGCGAGCGGCGGCGGCGGCGGAGACCCGACGCGACGCGGAGGTGCAGCTATTTTAATGAGCTCGACCGCAGCGGCACCGCGCCGCCTCGGACAAGGGCCGGCCCGCGAGCAACACGACAGCGCTGCGCGGGTGGGGGGAGGGAGGCGCGGCCGGGAGCGATCGGCGGCGACACCGCGCAAAGGAGGCGCTGTGTGTGGGGGGCGGGGGCGAGGTGACGGCGCGGCGCCGTTGTTGGGGGTCCATTGTGCGCAAGGCCTTGGCTGCGCGCGCCCCGCCCCGCCCCGCCACGGCCTCTGGTCTACACAGAGGGCGAATTCAAAACAAGCGAGACAATGTTTGGCGCTGGAAATACTAAAACGACGCTAGTGTAAACGAAACGAGACACACTACATAAAATAATAAATGTAAACGAATTACTGAATAAATCAGATCTATATGTTTGTACGTTGCTCTAAAGGAGAATATTCTCCCGACTTGTACATAATTTCACGCACATCCTCTATTGCTTTCGTGGATTAGCAAACCAGAATGCTTATGGCTTTTAAAGGAGTACTGTGCAAAGCTGAGTATTTTAAAGTTTCAGGTGCTCCGAATTGAAATGAATCTTTCATTTTCACCATTAATGATAATTAATTAATGACAAATATTCCAAAATTTAATAGTCGTGTTTTGGCTCATAAATAATACTGGAATAATTACAATGATGAGAATAAAACCTATTTGACAGTTAATCGTTTTTCCGTGCCTTTGTTGTGTTATAATAAATATGTTGTCGTAATTTATACATGATCCTCTTACATACAATCTAGGCAGTTCCAATAATTGATTTTTTTTTATTACTAACTTTCACTGTTCACGACGACACACAACATTGAAATCTTCTTAGTTACTTCTTCAAGCTGCAGAAACCGAGACAGCAACGCTTGTCTGGCCATAAACATTAGTAACTATTTGAAAACAACTAGACAGTTATTCATTTATTCAGACACTTGAAATACACGCTTGAAAATGTATGCTTGACGAGACACGTCACTACGAGAGGACGTTCAGAGAAGACTGAATTTGCGATGTCGCCCTTGAACCTATTTCCAATCAGAACAGCTAACACTCGACATACGCCCACCCATCGCTTCATATACGCCTATTGTTTGTTTCTCTCGCCGGCAGAATCTCGTCAGCCTCTATGTCGTAGAAGCCTTTTATTTTCTCGCCTTACTTCGTGAGAAGAGAATGTATTGTAATTGGTAGTCTGAAAACAGCCAAGATTGTGACGTCGTAGGAATCTCACTTCAAATCCCAGACAATAGCTCAACTATTTACAGAGGTTTATTTACAATATTATTTACAATCAATAATAAATTAAAATATTTATATATAGGTCTGGTAGTCTGTCCCCGGCTCGCACGAGCGATTTGTAACTACCTGCAATTAATTGCTTGTCTCCTGGCCCTGGCTACTAATCAAAGACCTAAGCACACAGCGTATGGTGATGCGACCATTGTCACAAGTGGAGGCGATATTTTTCTAGGGCTCCCGACACATAGGTTGTCACACGAGAGCATCGCTCATGAACGCACTCCCTGAGCGTTAAGTTTTGTGCATCACCAATGCACGAGGTCTCCCACTCTACTCAAGACTTCCACCCCCACGACTCGCGCTCTGAGTTTTATTCTCTCAGTCCACATGTCATACTAGCGTTCGCGCGGCAGCGAACATCACGTTATCGCCTGAAAGCCACGCGGTTCCGCCACTCGACCTGGCTGCTGTGGTTTCCTAAATTCCTAGAAGATCTCAAAATGCTTCTGTAATGTTGCACAAATGGGTTCCGGGCCTCTCGAGTCCCGCCCGTTTGCGATACCCTACGGCGTCCTTCTAAGCCCTAATCCTAAGGCTTCGGCGTCTTAGCGGCGCCAGACGTCCTGCCTCTAGGACCCCCGTTGTAATAAACTACTTCTTCCAACACATGTCGTCACAATTCATATTTTGTAGGTCCTTGATACCGAAAAATTGATTGACGGTAAAACGGCACCTTGTGTCTGCCCGTCTGTCTATCCGCCGGAAACGGGACTGGCGACACTTTTTTACCGTTCTTTGGTGCACATGAGAAGAACATTTAAAGACACAATTGGTTTTACAACAGCACGTACTTTCTCGCATTTCTGCAAAAAAAAGCCATGAATTATGATTTGAATCTGTATATATTGCTGATTTGTCTTTGTCTTTTGTAAAAATTATTGTATGTTATTAGCATCTGTCACTACTGGAAAATATATGTTATTTGGCCAATGAATTACATTTAGTTGGCCAAATAACAAATATATGTTTTGAGTTTATAATTTGTAATCTTTTAAGAATGGTCTGAGCTTCACAAGTAAAGGCAGAATTGCAGTCTTGAATTGCAAACCAATTTCACTCAAACTTGAAGTTGTGGACAGACGTCGAAAAAATGATAAACTAATGCAACTTTCAAAAAATTGTGGATTTCAACGAAAATTAGAACTGCGCCATTCTTTTAAGAGTCACTTCCAGCACAAACTGCAGGCAATCATTTGAAGTAGATCAATCGTAAATGTATAGAAAGAAAAGCAATAGCACAACACAAACAACATTAATTTTAACACAAAGAAAACTATTTAAACTATCTTAGCTAAAACAGCTTGGAATAAACTAAGCAACAACAATCAAAAATCAATTCAGGACGGGAAACAAATAAAATAAATTCTAAATACGAAACTGTAGAAATAATAGCTCATATCACGGCAATGGCAAACGATTAGCATCTAAATGCAATCTAGATTACAAAGTACACCCTAGATTACCAAGGGGTCCTCTGTCAGACGACGCAACTAGCGCCGAAAGTTTGCCCCACCTCCATCCCCCATTCTCCGCTTCTCAATCTCTGGGTACTGTCACTGTGATTAGCCAGTGAAATATGCGTGTCGTTGTGCGCGTTCCTATTTCGGGTATAGGCCATTTGAACACGCGTCGTCCAATAAACTACACCTTTGTAGTTACATCAGTGATATTTTTGGTGCTTTATTGGCTCATATTATAAATAATGACTACAAACTCCATGTCTTGTAGCATTTAAGTTTTGTTCTGAACATTTAGCAATCATAATGAGCGGGCCTGATGGCCCGAGTCTCGCAGTACGTAGAATAAGGCATTAAAACGAGACGTTGGCGAACATAACAAAGGTGCTTGACGAGGTAGTACTTCTGTGGATGCACCTCAGAAGCCACGTGTGGACAGCACCAACCAACAGTCAGCTGTGAGAAGCAAGCCATTCAGTCGTATCTCTTTAAAATGTATTTTGTAACACCATATCATACATGTTCAATCCATTAAATGTAGTGTTTAATTGTAAAAATGAGTCTTACTTTTTCTTTATTTTCCGCCAGACTACTCGCCTTTGTAGTCGTGTGTTAACGGGCGCCGTGTGCGCGTTGCGTTGCAGGGCGGGCGCGGAGGCGGGCGCGCCGGTGCGGCGCTGGCTGGAGGAGCTGGCGGCGGCCACGGAGCCCGAGTGCACGACGGCGCTGCAGAGCAAGTCGCTGGCGGCCGACCTGGGCCGGCAGGTGGCGGCGGCGGCGGCGGCGGCCACCAGCTCCGTGCGCGCCCTGCAGGAGCGCTCGCGTCGCATCGCCGCCGAGTTCAACAAGCTCTGCAGGTGCTCCTCCCGCACCAGTCTCGGCTGTGCAACTTCTCTCCTTATTCTCATGTCTCAGACATCACTCGTGAAGTTCATTTGTCGGTAGCAATCGCAGTGCATTACACGCGAATATTTAATTCACAACACAAACTCGACAATCCGAAACTCCGTTCCATTTCCACAAACCACCACCCAACAATAAGGTGTTACTCTGAGAGTTTTAGACTTCCGTATTTCGGCATTCACATTCTTGTGTTGCAATATTATTACTCCTGAAAGATTCATCTCAAACAAGTGCGGGCAATTGGAATAAACACAGACACGCAGACAATTTCGTAGATAGAGGCAAACAATCTCGCAGATAGAGGCAGACAATCTCGCGGATGCAGGCAGACAATCTCGCAGATAGAGGCAGACAATCTCGGGAAGAGCAACAATCTCCGATAAGAGCAGACAATCTCGCGATAGAGGCAGACAATCTCGCGGATAGAGGCAGACAATCTCGCGGATAGGGGCAGACAAATTCGCAGATAGAGGCAGACAATCCCGCGGATGCAGGCAGACAATCTCGCAGATAGGGGCAGTGCAGACAATTTGGCGGATAGGGGCAGACGCAGACAATCTCGGGGATAGGCAGACTCGCCGATAGACACAGGGACATGGATAAACGTGTTGCCGTCCATTGATGATCAGTATCAGGAAATTATCAAACGTGAATTGAGACAACACAACGTTAGAAGAGGAAATTTGCTAAACCGTCAGCAGACCCGGGCAATACGTTTTCCTGTGTAAATTGCATTCCAATCGTCTGTGTACAAGAGGGCGTGAGGTGAGGGCTGGGTGTTTGTGCGCAGGCAGCTGGAGCTGGGCGCGATGGAGCACGTGGGGCCGCTGGTGCAGTCGCTGACGGGCCACGTGGCGGAGTTCGCGCGCCAGCAGGCCAACGGCGGCCGGGCGCTGGAGGCGCTTGAGAGCGCGTGCGACGCTCTACGCGCCGCCGCCGCCGCGCGCCCGCCGCTCCGCGACCGCCTCCGCAGCGACGCCGCCGCCCTCGGCGCCGCCTTCACCGCCGTCGTCGACGCCGCACTCCTCACGCACATCGCCGTAAGCGCACTCCTGCACACGAGCGTTGCGTTGACGCGCGTCGAAGAATAACACTGTCGTGTGCGAAACGGCACACGAGCGCTTTGGCCATTCCACAGAAGATACAGTCTTAATCTATGTCTTATCTTATTTCTTGCGCGTCAACATAATGCACGTGTGACAGTCTTTAAATATTTACTACATTCATTTCCGAAATGTATTCGTATGTAGCGTGCGGCATATGCAATGGGCGCCACTTAACAACGGGAACTACATTTGTGAAAATCACTTGGAAAATTATCTTTAACAACTTTGCATGAGAAAATGGAATAAATGTTACGCGTTTAAAAATAAGACAATTCTATTGAACAGTATAAAGCGTAGTTCGACTGCCAAATTGTATTACATTTTTATTAACGTTTTTAATGCGCAGCTAGAAAGTGTACAAATAAGTTCACTAAGATGCGCAGTTTTTGTTAAATGTTCTAAATAAATAGGTAGTGATTCGACCAGAAACTTTTCCGTTCGAGTGTTTAAACAATAGAAAGTACATTGAGGGGCTTTCCTTGCGTGCCTAATGCTTCGGCACATCGCCCAAACAATGTTCTGATTTTTATTTTCTTAAATATATATTTTGTATACACGCGTTGGTCCACGAAAATAAAAATTGTTCTTGAGAATGTATTCGTAAAACTAGACTCCGAGGCAATAAAGAACACGAAATATATTACATTTTATATATAATCAAATATATTTAGCGTATGTTATAAACATAAATAATATTTAAAAAAATAAATATCGACATCACGCACAACCCAGCGGTAAGGCGGGTAGTATCGGGGTCAGGCAAGGGGCAGCACAAGGGCGAGGACGCTGGCCAGGAGCAGGGTGGGTTCGAGCAGACCAGGCCAGACCCTGTGGAGAATACAGTGTAGACAGAATGCATGTCTTTTTCAGTCTGAATAGATGAATAAGATCAGTAAATATCCAGTGCTCTAATGTTGCACGCGCGATTGGTGTTGGCAGGTGGTGGTGTCGGTGGTGGAGGCGCCGGCGAGCGAGATGGCGCTGCGCGCGGCGCTGGCGGCGCTGGCCGCGCTGGGTTTGGAGGGCCGCCACCTGAGCGCGCTTGTGGCGGAGGCCGGCGGCGTGCGCGCGCTGCTGGCCGTGGTGCTGGAGTCGCGCTGCAGCTCGGTGCGCGCGGCCGCCATGCGGGCGCTGGCGGCGGTGGCGTGCGCGCCCGACGCCATCCGCTGCCTGGAGAGCGCGGGCGGCGTGGAGGTGCTGGCGGAGCTGCTGGCGGACGACGCGCGGCCCGAGCCCGAGCTGGCGGAGGCGGCGGCGGTGCTGGCGCAGGCCACGGCGCCCTGGGTGGAGGACAACCCCGGCGTGCGCGGCCTCGCGCAGCACCTGCCCTCGCTCGTGCGATCGCTCTCCGGTAATTCAATCAGCCTCATTCTCCACTCCAGTCGGCGACTTCGGGCGCTGCTCCCTCGGGTATAACTGATCTGCACCGAAAATTCTGAAAGGGATCCCATACCCTCACTTTTGATATCCAATAATGTGTTACATAGCTGATAAAAATGGAGTATGGAATGAATGAACACATTACTATATAGTTATCATACGTATGTTCATGCAGCTCGTGCTTAGGTTGCACAACTCACCAATAATCGAAAGTATTTTAGAATTTGTTAGGAAAATACACTTTCGTTTTAATGGCATTAAATATTCAAGATTTTGCTCCAATATCGATGTATGTGAAATCATTTTGAACCAAAGAGCGCTCTCTGCGGTGTCTGGTGCTGGATTTTAAATCCCAAGGTAGGCACCGGTGTGGTCAACCAGCTTCCTCAATCTTTCACTGGTATATTGTATTTTTCTGATGGCAATACATTGGGATGTTGGTCATTACCTCTTGAATCCACGCTTCCATTTCCTCTAATGTGCGAGAGTTTGGACTTGTACACCTCCTCCTTAGTGTAGCTTCACAAGAAAACAAAATCACACGCAAAGAGATCTGGACTTCTTGCTCGCCATACGTTAAAGTTCACACCTCCCAACCCAGAAAATTCTGGTCCAACTATTCGCGAACAATTAGTGCAAAGTGGGGTGGCATTAGCATAAAGCCATCATTAATTCATCAAATTCCGTTCCTTGGTCACAGTCCCCGAATTTCGATTCCTGAACACAATGGGGCTTCCAGGGCGAAAACTGATTTCGGTGCCAATGTAGGTGCGATTTCCAGCGGTAAACTCTCGAACCCAGTGCAGCAGGCGTTATGAAACGCCAATAAGTACTTGACGTTCACGGGCGTGTTGTACGTGTGCGGCAGGGCTGGCGGAGCGGACGTCGTGCGCGGAGACGCTGCTGCTGTCGGCGGCGGCGCTGGCCAACGTGACGCACATGGAGCCGCGCGCCGTGTGGGAGCTGCTGGCGGCGGGCAGCGCGGGCCGCCTGCTGCGCGCCGTGCGCCGCCTGGGCGCCGCCGCCTCCGTCTTCCTGCAGGAGCAGGCCGCCGCGCTGCTTGCCGCCATGGCCGCCGTGCCCGAGTCGCGCGCGCGCCTCGCCCACGAGCGCGCCGTCGTCGCGCTGCTCTGCTTCCTGCAGGTGCGCGCCTCGCCCCTGCAGGACCAGCCCGAGATCGCCGCGGCCGAGCGCCTGCAGCACAAGTCGGCCATCGCGCTCTCCAGGTCAGAACTGCACACGCGCACTCGGTGATGGCTTTGCGTTGCCGAAAAAAAAATCAATTTCGTATTCAGAAAAAATCGGATCTACTTCGGGTTTATGAACATACATCGATATATTCCACAACACAAACGTTTACACTAGGATCCGTCCATAAATTACGTAACGCAAATTGGGAGTATTTGTAAACTCCCTCTCACCCCCGAAACGCGCACAAAAACCCCTCTAATAATTTCGTAACACTTACAAGACCAAATTACAATAAGTCAAAATTAATTATAAAGCACAAACAATTGTATTAATTGTATTTGTGGTATGTATATATTAAGATGGTGCGGACTGCACATAACCACAAGATAGGGACAGTTTTTGAAAGAAACCAGGGGGAGTAGGCGAGAAAACTTACTTAGAAAATCAGCTTAGTGTTACGTTATATAATTACGTAACACTAAGCTAACACCAAGACCCACTACTCTTGTGGCGAAACGTGAGCACTAGCGCAACAAATTGAACATTGCGCTCTCCGCCATATTGTAGGCAATGCGGGCGCGGTCATATAATATTGTGAATCGGAAAGCTATTTTCACGGGTTACTACGAACTCAAAACTTTCATAATCACGTTGTAAATGTTCCTATGAACTATGTTAATAAATTACAAAAAATTTTAACGTATTTTAAGAAAAAGTATTTAGGAATAGCTCGCGTTGTTTGACTTGCAATTGGAACCCTTTCAATCCACATCGAATGAACGTTATATTATTATTTTTGTTCGTGTAATAATAATACCCAATATTTCTGTACATAAATTGAACAGAAAAAACGATTAAAAAGAACAAACTAACAATAGAAAATCCCCTCCCAGCACTCATGCAATCCATCTTCCAATTTTTAATAACGCGAACAAGTTTTCAAATGAATAAAATACTTTAAATAAGAAAAAAAAATTTATATGCGTAGTGAGCGCAAGACGGGGGGGGAATGGAACGGGTACCTCCTTACGCTTCCCTCTAACACAAGCGCTCTCAAGAAAAGGAATAAAACAGACCAAATTGTGATTTCTTAACAGATCATGGCGCTCGCGAGGAAAGGCAAGGATCTTTCATATTTATGTTGCATCTCGATAACCACGTCTTCTTTCGCGCTCAACACTTAGCGTGTGAATGGCTTCTTTCTTTCTACACTTCCACTCAAAGCTATCACACAACTCATTCCACCAAACTCGACTGTACATTCATAAAAACGGCGTAGATCCAGTGTCCATCAAAACCTCTAAACTTCTTAATTTTTCAAAAATGTCCAAACAAGATTTTCTCAGAAACGGCTCCAAATTTTTGTACAACAGTTTGAAAATGTGAGTAGTTTATTTGCGTAATTTTGAGTGAAATCGCTACTATTTTAATAAAATAAACTTTATGAAAATATTTTCTCAAAAATGGTTCAAAATAAAATTCTTTACTCAAATTGAGTTAAGTTTACTCATTAATATGGCATAGATTCAATATTTATTAAATTGTTTGCAAATTCAAAATTGCAAAAGTTCAGTTTTTTTTAAACCTGTTCTCTATCTTCAATTCTGAAAATAGAAACTTCACTCTTGAATGTAATCTACTCCTCAGTAATTCAATCATTTGATTGTTTCATATACTCCATTTCAAAATATTATTTTTCACATAAATTTGAGTTGTGTTTTAGAAACAAAATCAAAAAATACTGTAGCAAAAGAAATGGAGACTCGAAGTCACTGAAGTAGCTGGTCTTGCGATTTACATATCTCTCAATGAGTGTGAGTGTTTTTGTTTCTAAAATAACACACTGCAGTCCACAGCAGAAAGCCTTTTTCATTTCAACTTTTGAATTTTCAAAAAAATTTGTATGTATGCTTCAGTTTGCTAGTAATTTTCAAATGATTTCTGAAGTGTTAGAATGATACAAGTTGCAAATATTATAATACTGAGTAATTGTTACCAATAATACAAGTACAAGTTGAAGCACCACCAGTTTTACTTAAATGTGTGTGACATTTGTGAGAGCGACACTTTCTACAACCACCCAAGTTCCACTTACGAAATTTTGAGAATATATAATCTTGCAAGACTTGACCATATACAGACCATGTTTAGTAATTGTTTAAAAATAAGGCAAGTCACAATTAAAAGAAGAAATATGTACAAGACACAGGTAATTGTTATTGATATCACACAATGCAGAAAATTACAGACTAATATTCTTGAAATTTCAAGACCATTTAACCAACAGTGAATCAGTATGTCATCAAGACAAATGCTCACTGATGTAACAGTCAAAAATAGATGTGGCTGAAGAGAGTGTTCCACCCAATAATCCTGTATTTTAATCATGAGAAAATTGACAAATGCATACATAATCACAATATTGTCACAAACTTCTACAGAAATGATTTGCCTCATTAGCATAAAGTAAATGTTGATCATTACATTTGATTCAATTAATTGTTTTGTTTTCAGACTCTGCAGTGATCCTGCTGTTGCTGAGCAAGTAGTAGTCCTACAAGGTGTCACGCGATTAGTACGTTTGTGCAGAGATGAAAGAGAACGTAATCACAGTGATGGAGTTCTTGTGGCATGTTTGGTAAGTTAAAAAAAAGTAACAACAAACAAAAACGAATATTTCAAATATTAGATATTTCTCCATACATCTGGAAAAAAAATATTTTTAATTATGTATGGAATCTGTGGTAATAGTGTTCTCATCCTGGAAGGTGATAAATCATTATGACTTTATTTTGCTTAGCAGAAAGTTGTGTGTTAAGCAAATACTGCATTACCTTCTAAAGTTGATTTCAGTGATAATATTACTAATAAACAAATCAATCAGAGCTCGTATAACCTTATTAAAATCAAAAAAGTTAATCCCCTAACTTTTTAATTTCAAATCTCATTTAATTGGAGGGTTTCACCTAGAATTACATACTTCTTATTGTAATATTTTCTGACATGGGATACGTTACAGATGTAAACTATTTAAAAAGATAAAACAGCTGATGTTGGTCCTCTTTTTGAGAAGGGAGTTGCCTCACATAATCAGACTCCCCATGAACATTAAGATTAATGGTCCAGCAGGGAGAGTTCAAGAAGTGGACAGATGCTTGTGTTTAAGAAATGAGATTAAGATGTTGAGGAAGATTGTCCTTGCCATTAAATTCACCAATAGTGTTTTGAAGATAGAGAAGATTAAGATGTCAAAAAAATAGAAAAAATGATATTGCAGAATACAAATTACATTATACATTACACCAGTTTTTACCAATCCATATGGGTAACAGAGACATGATAGATACATACATACATTTTCTCAACCAAAAAAATTGCTGAGATCGCTAACAAAATCTTTACGTCTTTCATTCAAAAACATAACAGTACAGCTAATGGTCAGGCTTGGCCTTTTTGTATGGCCATCACTAGATTTGCCCAGTATCTAGGTCTATCTTTCTGATGAAACAGGGGAAAGGAGTGGCAATAACATACTCGTAGGTGTTCTGTTTTTTAAATGCTTATGACGAGTCTCATTTTTCTATTTTTTTCATGTTTTAAACAATAGATCTCCTGAACTCCTTTAAGGCAATATTGAAATACTTTAGAAATCTTGGTATGATGTCAAAACCGAAATTCATATAACCTAGTAAATGTAAAATGAAAAAAAAAAAAGTTTTAAATTCATTTGGTATTTGGCTAACATTTCTTCTTCTTCTTATTATTATTATTATTATTATTGCTTGTTCGGCAAGAAAGCACACCCCTTCCCAGCACGTAATTCAGAAGGGACTTGCAGACAACTGCAGTCCAGGGCTGGATTTCTCAATAGGCCGAGTAGGATTCAGCCTAGGGTGGAAAAGTTTTAGAGGCGGCACTTTGGCAATTTATTCGAAAGTTAAAAAGAAATTTCAATGTTAATAATAGTTTCCATATGTATTTATGAAACTTGAAAATGTGTTTCATAAATAGCATACTTTCTAAAGCTAATTCAAATTCACATCATGTAATCTTGTAATGTAACTTTCTTGTAGTGTAATCTAATATGGTTTGACAACACTGCATGGCAGAAGGCACAAGCACAGTGATTCAGTCTGAATCTTGAAAGACTTAAAAAAAACAAACAAGTAGATGAATTAATGTTATTATATAAACCACTAAAATTGTAATTTTATCTAAACTAAATGAAAGCTAATGTAGTTTAATGTTTAAAAAAAGATGAAAACACAGATCAACATGCATTAATATGTTGGTTTTCCATGACCACCCACAATTTTGAAAGGTGTCACTGTTGTACACATATTGCACATAAATCAATATAGTCCAGATGTGTCTCTAGGTTATGTGACAGCTGCTTATCCATAACTTGTATGGTAGATATATTATTTATGCAGTATCTAGCTGTTCAAAAACCACTTTGTTCTTCCATTCTATTTATTTCACTTTCCAGACTATTTTTAATAATTTTATCGTACATTTTAGCACGAAAACTTAAGAGTTTTCCTCCTTTTTTAAATATGTTGCTGATGTAGACCGCTTTATAGGCTTCTGGTATCCCATGACCCTTGGTCAAAACTGGTAATAACTAAAAATATATTTTCAAGTTGTGTGTGTATTGAAAGATAAGAAATAGGATTTGGAGAATGTTCAATATTTTGTATTTGATTTAGAAATACAATTATTTTATTGCAGGCTGCTTTGAGAAAGATTGCTGCAAACTGTGGAACCCAAGTAATTGAAGATCTCGATGCCCTTGAACTAGTGGAACCTCGATTGTTAGACTCATTCCTTCTTTACTCATCACGACAAGAAAGTTATGTGTAGAGATATCTCAACACCAAAGGTATATTTCTTAACTCGTTTGTAATATTTATTGTTAAAACATCTGCATTAATTATCTCTAGAATGTGCCATGTTTATCAAAATCTCCACATTTACATCCCTTGATTGATCTCCTCTAAAAACATGACAAATAACGAGTCACAAATAGTAATTTAATTTTAAATTTACACAATTCTTCTACTTATTTCCAGATTGTAATTCTATATAACCAACTGCAAAGTGATCATTTCAGGACAGAACGCCAAGGTATTGATTAATGTTGTCAATTAGGTTTTCAGAAAATAATTTGTTACTGTACAGTTATTGTATAAACATTTTTTATTGTTTTTTAAGATGTATAAATTACAAATATATTAAATGTGTGTATGTTGAAGACCTTTATTTTTATGAATTCTTACACATCCTACAGACAATTTATGTGCAATTATTGTGTATTTGCTGTCTTTCTTTTTTAAAACAGTAAATTAAATTGTTGTGTTAAGTGAATTGAGATCTTTTGAGTACAAAATCCTCTCAGATTTAATATAAACATTAGAATGTATTTCAAATGCACGTAGGTTACACTGCAAAAGTTCATGCAGTGATTAAGTACAAAGCAGTCTGTTCAAACAACAAACTTAAAATACACAACTATATTTGAAGAATAGAATACTAACATTATTTGCCATAAAGAGAAGAGAGTAGGATTCCATGTTTTATAACACAATCAACATTATCATTAACATTGAAGTTGTTCATTAAATTCAATAAATTCATATCATTCAAGTCAAAAATCCCTTGATATAGTAATAAAACATGTTTATGTAGAAATCTGACTGTAATGTTTTCCTATCAAAGCATTTCATACGCATGTGATATTTATACAATTACACTCACAAATAATTTTTAATCTTTTTAAAAGATGGCATCAGTCTCAAACAAAATCCTGAAGGAGAAAGCAGGTACATTTTTTATATAAAATATTCATATGTACAAATTACATAGCACCCGCAACAAAACTTAAAAATTAACAACCAAACTTTTGATATTGGACAAAATACATAATACAAAAGTTTTGTTGATTGCTTTAGCTCGTAGTTTCTTTTTAAAATGCTTATTTCCAAATACCATCAATTTCACTGCATAAACTGGTATTATTATAATACAAACTAATTATAAATACTGCAGTATTTCTTGATGTACATATTGCATTATCCTTTTTAATTAAAGAATAAGGGAAACAACTGATATTCACACAATTGAATTTTAATCATTCAATTTTGACTAAATAAATGTCAAATTATATCCATGTAAGCTCACAATTAAAACTTAAAAAAGAAATTATAACAAATTTATTTTGCTGGGCATGATGCATTTTAAAGATGCATTCTTCAATAAAGTAGACTGTATGGCAAGACATTTTCAAAAACTGTTTATCAAGTACAAACATATTCAGAACTCGATAAGTAAAAAATCAAAATTGTATTTGTACAAACCAAGTTCTATTTCTGCTGAAGACGGCTGACTCATTTTCTCTGTCAAAAACACGGTGTATTGGCAGGTATTACGACTTTCGGATATTTTTATCTCTTAATTTTGTTTTTTATACACATTATTATTATTATTATTATATACAATTTTACTGGCAGTATAAAAAATATTAATGTTATTTTACAATTGTATGCATTGCATTGTAAATAAAACAATGTTGGGTGATCTATCACAGTGAAACTCCTTTAAATTCTGAATGTTTCAAGGGAAGACCACTAAGGAATATTTCAAACTGGAATTGCACAATGCAAAGTGATAAAAAAAATATAACACTGAAAAATATTCTTTAAAAAATAATACTCAAGGAATATTATTGGTAAATCATGTATCCCTAACGATGAAATACGATTTCTTCATTTATACGTATTTCACATTTAAGGCATTTGAATTGACTCGAATGACAATAATTATTCACTCGGAACACTATTGGTATTGTCCAATAATTAATTAGCTCATCCCAGAATCCCATAATGAATTTGTATTTATACGAATAATAAAGGAACTTATTTCCTTGGGGCAGATTCAATTAGGTGACAATGAAATAATTACCATTGTTTTCAGAAGAGATATCCCACGAAAGTAGTTACAAATCTCTTGATAATTCAGCTTCATTTGAAATCAATTTTCTTATATTCCTCATGTCATGCCCAAACTGTGAAAAGAATAAATTTATTATGAAAATTGGAAGACTGAAAAGTAGTTCCAGTAGTTTTTGTAACACTGTTAAAAAGTTGATTAAATGACAATAGAACATGAGTAAGCTTGTCTATTATTATTCAAATTAACACAAAATTCAGTAGGTGAACATACAATAATGATATTAGTATTCAACAAATATATTGCCTAATTATCTCAATATTTTTTCTGATTCCTTAGGTCAACAAACAAACTGAAAGCTGTAGACCAAAAGTATATCTTTAAGATAACATTAGTAGACCCACATTGTCATTTTCAGGTTCCAGTGTCCTGAGATATTTTGTCATTTTTTAAATAAAATTTCCCTTGTTAGTTCTAATAGTTCTTTCAGTTAGTTTGGTTGTGTCTAACAAACAAACTAACTGACAGCTGAAGACCAAAAGTTTATCTCTAAGATAACATTAGTAATATGATTAAATTCAATGCAGTCTAATCAGAAAATATTATTGCAACTCTGAATATTGGTACATTAAATTTGAAAAACAAAAAATACATCACCATATCTCATTGTTTATGATGGTATTCTTAATGAATATACAGTTATTAGTTAAAAAATCAAATAGTTTCTATTCGAATATTTGCATGGGATATGCCCACATATCCCAAGGGAAATTTTGATTCACAAATGACGAATAATATCTTATTTTAGAACACTTAGGACCCCGGAAATTATAATGTGGGTCGCATAGCATATTTACAAAGAAGACATAGGGTAGCCATATTGAAAATGGCAAGGATTAAATGCAAATACTATAATATAATATACTGTATTCAGCAATGTTCGAGGCTGGAATACACAGTAAATATTTGACACAGAATATTCCTAATATAAAGTAAATACAGTCATGATTTGGGACATGGTCGATTTTAAAATATACATTTTTATTTAGGTAGTATCATATGATGGAATGAGGAAGGAATGGACAATCAATGGTGACCTATTTTAGTGCCAGTGTATATGGACAGAATTAATGACTGACCGTAGACAGGTTAAAGCCAATAGCAAAAAAAGTGAAAACAAGTGAATTTTTCATCAAGACCTTAATTTTGACAGAAGCTCTTTAGACATTGTTGATCATTTGAGAAACAATTCACACCGGTCAATAAGCATTTATTGCAGTTATTTAGTCAGTAGGGGATATGCATATTGAATTTTTAAATATGAGAAATAGAATTGTGAGTTCAGATAATTCGTGTTGCAAGGACATTTAGTCAATGCAATTGTGCATATAAGTCAAAGTAGAAATGTCTGTCCAAGTTATTCAGGAAGAGATTTAAAGTAAATAGTTTGAATTTTATTACTAGTAGGTTTAGGGATATCAATTTTTAATATTAACATCAAGATAAAAACAGAAGATTCCCGGTGGATGTCGAAACTCACTTCACTTCATTTCACGTCACTTCATCAATGCCGTAGACAAGTACAACTTCTCCACAAATCATAAGTGTATGTGTCATACAAGTAAATGTAATAAGTCTTTACAAAGAGAAGATAAAACAGACATTCAAAAGACCTTAATAAAACAAAGAAATAATATTTTAATTTAATGAACGCAAATGAAAGTTATTGCACAAATTAAAAATTTGTAAAGAAAATAACAAAGTTAATATCAATAAATGATGTTAAAATGTTATTAGAAAAAGAAGGCTGATTCATTTAATAGTCAGATTCCGCAAACCAAATATTTTATTTTTTAACAGAGTACGTTTTCAGAAATTACCCACTCAGTACTGGATGGGCTGTCAACCCATGTAAGCACTATTACTCAACCATACAAGAATGTTGGAGTTGGGCACTCATAAATATTATAATAAAAATTAAATGGTTTAAAGTTTTATACGTTTTCAAACTAAAAAGCATGAAACGTTTGCAAAAGGGCATGCTTGGCTTACATTAAATGCTGATATCAGAAAAGGTGCATCTTAAAATGTTCCATGTAACTGTAGTCTCTGAATTTCTAGTCTTCACATCTTAAATGGAATTGTTGTCATTGTTTTAAACAGAAATACTATTATTCATACATTATTTGCCAAAAACAAGGCATTCTTCAAATTGTATAAGTGGTTTATGAACAGACACGAGTCTACAACAGCTAATGGTTGTAAAAAAACAAAAACTATAAATACATATACTGACATAAAAATGGATTTGCAAACAAACTTTTAATTAAACTTCCAGGATTCTCCCCACCTCTTAAACACAAATGTTCCAATTTGGGACCATCATGACTCAATATCATTGTTCCCATCCTTCATTTTCCTATTTTTCACTAGCTTGTCTAACAAAAAGGTTTGATTACTAATTTTACAAGTACAGTGGTCACCTCCACTAAGGGCAATATTTTCGTAGTACTGATTTTTCTGTAAGAAGGAAAATAATCCCTCTTTGCAGTGGCCTGTGGCCAGGCACATTCAGTACATTGACATTTATTTAGCGGTCACCTCAAGCAATTTTGAACTGCATTATAACAAAAGCAGAAAACTTGGAGATTACTATTGATTTAATATCTTCCTAAGATGGATCGCATGGTCAGATTACTTAGAATAATCCAGAATTGCTTATCTCACTAGGAATTTCTTTCTGTTTCAAGTAACAAAAGATTCTTAAATAAATATTTCTTAATGAAACTATGACAACTTTGTTTTTCCCATTTCATAGCACCTCTATGGTTTGCTAACTTCAGCATCCCTTGTATGAGAATCTGTTTAGGATTCCCTGTGTGTGTGAATTTCGGCTCGTTTCCTCTCTGCTTTGTCAGATGGCCCAGCTGTAAAGTTTACACAGGATATGAATTGCTTCTTCCAGTCTAGTTTGCTTGTATTATTTGGCAAAGATGGAAAGACAGTTTCTCGACTAAGAGAATGAGTTTAAAGTCACTGGTGTTTTGGCATTGGCTTAAAGGAGGTAAATGATTGAGGAGGCTTAAATTGTATTTTGTTATCTAAGGGAATTAAGTAAGTCAAAGAGAACATAGCTCATTTCATAGCAATTAGCACAATCAGACTTACTTAATGTTTCCAATAACCTCATAACCTTGATGAAGTGCCCACCTCTATTATTGATCAATTTTTGCTGTAATAATTGGTAACTGCTTCAATCCAGTTACACTATACATATTTGTTTTGAAGTGATCTTACAGTTTTGTTCTTTGTGATTAGTGTTCTTAAATGGAAAATTGGCATTTGATATACAATTGTTACCTTGGAGCTTTGACAAAACTTGGCAAGTGAGGGATTAGACTGATCGCAGCAGGGCCAGGTCATTGTTGGAAGATATACATAATTGCCTCAGCGGAAAAGTAAGATATAAAAACTGGAAGAGTTTTCCCAGATCATGAATAATATCATACTTAATTCTAGAGGTACAATGAAAAAATTACATCACATAATGTACAAAAGACCAACAATATAGACTATTTCATTGATAAGTCTATGTTGCCCTCTCAATCAAAAAGTTCACCAAAGAAAAGCAATGACTTAGGATTGAAAATCTCAACACTTCATAATTCCCAAGATGTATTCTCCAATTTATTTCTAGATTCCTGGTGAGTTAGGAGAAGGGCAATATCCAATCAGGAGTTTCCATTTAAAAAATTGAAGCAGTGCCTCCTCTCCTAACTCAAGAGATCTAAATCTTTAAATCAAAGACTAGGAAAGCACATGGAATCTCACTGCTGGGAACCATGAAATTACTATTTTGTGGCTGGTAGTATCCAATCCCTTGTAGATGGAAATATTTAGATTTCTTTATGTCCTATTTATTGACAAAGCTGAAAACAGATTCAGAGCACTTGGTACAGCAAGACAAGAGAGAACATCTCGATAGCCACCGATTTCACTGAAAAAATGAAACTAACAATCATTTTGATTTTGGATGTCACAGAGTGTTTAGAATATGTGTTGCTTAAAGACAATTCTGTTATCACATTGAATCAAGAGATTAAAATAACAATAAGAACAACAACAAGTCAGCCCCCGTGATGCAGGCAGTAGCAGCTGCTGTCATCTGCACTGGAGACGCTGCAGGTTCGTGTGTTGTTTAGGCATGGTCATCCCTTCACCCTTCATCATCATCATCATCATCATCATCATCATCATCATCATCATCATCATCATCATCATCATCACCATCATCATCATAACCTAGTCTAGTCAACTGATGCTCAAAAGGGAAATCCAGAAAAAGTTTCGGAAGTTTTTCCTCAACGGTTCTATATGTTTTTGATGGTGCTGAATTTGAATTTGATGTCTGCCATCTAAAAAGGGTTGGCTTCACAGCGAAAATTGCAAAAAACCCTAAACATTATGCCCAGTTTTTAGTTTTTCGCTTATAATGTCAAAAATATGCAATTTTTCGAAACAATTCTTACTTAAAAAATTGAAATTGATACAATTTTCTACAAAATGCATACACTAACTTTAAATTCTTGAAAAACGTTTAGCACTAAAATTGTTACTGTTTGGGCCTCTGGCCAAACTAGCAAAGGAGAATAGCTATTTTCAGCCATCCTAAGTAATTAAATACTTTAATTATAATAAATCATAATAAATACATTACAATAATAATAATTAATCCCTTTAAATCATGGCAACCCTCTTACTTTCACTCCATCATGCTTGAAAACAGCTATTGTGGACAAATAATGGGCATTGTTAAATTATTAACATTCCGATACTCAGAATCAGTAGGGCGTATTCGCTCGCACAGAGTATTTGTAAATCCTTAAAGCATACAACATAAGGTGCCCAAGAGCCATTTTTGAGAAAATTTTGAGGTTCATAAGGCTTCATGTAAAGTACCCCCAAATTTTGACGAATGTCTTTCAAAATCTTTAAGATTCGAATCGAGCCGGATGGACAGGAAATTCAGATGGATGGATTCAGCCGGATGGACAGGGACAGACTTCAATTTGGAAAAAGTCCTACGCTTGGTTTAGGCGCTAGTAGTGTTCACAG